CCTAGTTACAACTTTAACCCTAGTTACAGCTTTAACTGTAGTTACAGCTTTAACCCTAGTTACAGCTTTAACCCTAATTACAGCTTTAACTGTAGTTACAGCTTTAACCCTATTTACAGCTTTAACTGTAGTTACAGCTTTAACCCTAGTTACAGCTTTAACTCTAGTTACAGCTTTAACCCTCATCCGGAAGGGATCCATATGAAGACCGATCAAAGTTGTAAACATATTTTTCTAACTTATTTATATGCCATATTGCTTGTGGGTCCATGATTTTGGTGATAACAGGATCCCTAATACCTTATGAACTACGAGAAAAGATTAAAAACAAAAATACTTTAAATTAATCCCACTAATTATTGCTGGGGCTTCCCAATCTTTTTGTCAGTTCTGCTAATGAAATTTGAAAACGAAAACTCGCACTGCTTATGAATTCCAAGAGGTTTGTGTTTGTCATCTTTTTAGTTTCGTTTCGTTTCGTTTAAAGATCCCTTTTCAGAAAGTTTATTTTAAAATACTTTATTTAATAAGTATATGGAATATTTAGTATTGTGTTTTTCAAGTATAATATTAATCAATTTAAACAACGAGTTGAAAAGAAATATATATATATATATATACAGTTTGCTTGAATTTGTACATATCGCCAGGTCCTGGATACTTTAATAAAATATTTTAAAACAACTGACTTGTTTGGTTTTGATAGTTATGCAGTGTAACAATACCGATTATCACTGTATGAATTACAAGAAGCATAACCATCGTCATATTTGTTTGTTTTTAATTATGCACAAAGCTTACCCGTTTTTTTTTTAGTGTTGGAAGTCCGCAGACATACCACTGTGCTACTGGAGGGCTGATTATTCGTTCTTAATCACAAAGCTACCCGTTTTTTTTAGTGTTGGAAGTCCGCAGACATACCACTGTGCTACTGGAGGGCTGATTATTCGTTCTTAATCACAAAGCTACCCGTTTTTTTAGTGTTGGAAGTCCGCAGACTGTGCTACTGGAGGGCTGATTATTCGTTCTTAATCACAAAGCTACCCGTTTTTTAGTGTTGGAAGTCCGCAGACAGTGCCACTGGAGGGCTGGTTATTCGTTCTTAATCACAAAGCTACCCGTTTTTTTTAGTGTTGGAAGTCCGCAGACAGTGCCACTGGAGGGCTGGTTATTCGTTCTTAATCACAAAGCTACATAATTCTCTATCTACGATCTGCCCACTGCGGGTATCGAACTCCGAATTTTAGTGTTATCGATAAGCCGGGGAGTGGGGAAGATACTAAACATTTGACTAAAGTAACGAAAGAAACAGTATCATACTTAAAGAGTTATTTAGAAACGATCAATTTGAGAGCCGAAAATTTAAACTAATGTTTAGGACTCAGGTTTGAACATCCTTCTCAAGAAATATCGTTTTGGTTCTCTGAAGCCTCCCATATCTGCTGTAGAAATTAATATGTGTAACATATTTACACACACATATATATATATATATATATATATACACACACACGCACTCGTCACATCGACAAAGAGCATTGTATAAATCAGTAATGTTAAAATGAATCGTTAGCTCTACTTTATAGCGCTTCTGGGGTTTCAGCGGTAAGCTTCGGGGTTCCAATGTTAAAATTCCGGATTCGATCCCTGAGGAGATCGTCCATTCTGCAGCTTTACGCTTAAACGAAGAAACAAACGAATTGTAGAGTCACGAAATATTCAAACTGCGATTCTGGCTTTACCTTCTTCCCGCATGCGCGAAATATCTATAAAATGATTAATTATCGTTGTAGTTCAAGCATAAGTAGCAGGTGAAATTTACTCATGTTATAAACAAGAGGTATTGTGAGCTAATGTAACGGTTCATTTACTTGACAAATTGATAAGTAGCAGGTGAAATTTACTCATGTTATAAACAAGAGGTATTCTGAGCTAATGTAACGGTTCATTTACTTGAACAAATTGATAAGTAGCAGGTGAAATTTACTCATGTTATAAACAAGAGGTATT